CACGATCGTTTACTCCTTCCACCTCATCGTTCGGCGGGCGTCTCAACCCTCGTAGTTGGTACGGATGTACAACCGCGATGTTATCTCTCGCTTAAAAAAATATTTAAATTTAGAATTTTTTATACCTACGTATTCTAATTTCAATTACTTTAAAAATAAATATTTACCTCCTCCGGTGCACCTTGTAAAATAACCGATATGTCCGCCGGCATCATCCTCCCCCACGCCAGCCATTGCACCGGTTATGTATTCTTTTACAATATTTAAAAGTCTTTTGTCCGCGAAATACCCTAATCTGAACATAATGCTCAATAGGGTTTTCGAGCACTCCAGTACGAATTTTGCAAACGTGATGTAATTTGCTTCTTCTTCATTTGTTAATAGTGAGATATAAGCACTCGCGTTTATCGTCGAGTTGATATTCGCGCACACGATAAAAAATCTTCTTAATTTTTCACTGAGTGCCATTTTTCACTCCTTCACTATTTTTTAGAATTAAGACAGCGAACGAATCGACGCAGTAATGTAAAAATTGGTCAAGTTACCCCGAGAAAGTATAATCTCGGAAATAGAATTTTCTATAATTCCGCACGGCATTTATACTTTGAAAATCTTACTCGCGCACTCCGAAAAGAGGGCGGCCCGCAGAAAATGCAGCGCCATTGGATAGATCAAAATTCTCCTTAATACACCTTTTCTATTCTCTCACCTTTTCTACTATTCTCTCACCTTTTCTTTTCTATTTCTCTAGCTAAAACTTAGCTAAAAGAAAATCCGAGCTCCCCACTCAAGAAATATCTCTAACTCTCTTATTTTGTAGTTTCTAGGTTTATTATTAAAAAATATTTTGCGAAGAAGTTTTAAAAGTTTAGAAAATCTAAAGTTTAAAAGATTTTATAATTTTACAATTTAAAATTTTTAAATTTTAAAACCTTTTAAAATTTTTTAAATTTTATAATTTTTCATTTGCCCATCTGCGCGCGCAGTTCTTTTTTCTTAGTAGATAAGTCGATGAGCTCGACGAATTCGTCAGCCCTCGGTTCATTCGAGTGCCATCCTTCGAGGTTTCAACTTCGTAAATCCGAAGTAGTCTCTCATTTCGACGCTTGTGATTATTAGTTACATTAGTTACATTTGAGAAGAAAACAGGAACAATGGCGAGCCGAAAAGCTGTTCCCGATACCGAGAAGCATAATACTCCGGAACCGAGCATTGCCCCCGATTCCGAGAAGCGCAAGTACATCTGCGATATTCCGAAGGAAAATTGTAACGAGGAACGAAACGACAAGTTCCATATGATGTTCTCGACGACATATGGACTTAACATCTCTCACACGAAAAGGATACACGTCGGATTGCAAACGACAAACGAAGGAATTTTTGTGCCAATGGTTAAATTAACCGGTAATTATGCAGAAGGAATTTATTTCGACGCTGATTCTTGACAACAATTCCTAAACAACATGGGGCTTATCGACGAGTATTTAAACACTAACAATAAATCAAGACCGGATCCTATCATTGTCAAAAATGTTGCGATCAACTTTACCTCCTCTTATGGGTCACGGTCCATATTACTGGCGTATAAAGAAAATGAAGAGGCCACTATGGAAAATATCGAAATTCAACATCGAGGAACGACTACGGATTCGTAGCCACCGACGAAGAGGCGTAAAACCTATGCTGCCGCAATTGTGATGCAGAAGAGTACTTTTCACGGTTTGAAAAATATTGTGAAATGTGTCGACGCGCATTTAAAACATTTACAAAACGTGACCGATAATGTTAACAAATGCGCGCAATATCTTATAAAAGAAATAGAATTAAACCTTCCAAAAAGTTACATAGATAGCGATATTGTAAAACTCAGTTTGAAAGGAAATTATCACGAAATCGCGCGCAATGTACGCACGCAAATAAACGATTTAACATTTCTGGATATGTATTTCGATATAATATTTGTGGAATTAACTTCTCTGAGATTTAATGAAATTCTTCGTATTATTTTCTCAAATCGTAATTTGTAACTTTTATTTATGAATTGATATAATATGTACAACAATATAACAATAAATGATTTGTAACTTAAATTCCTGTCTTTGCCCCTCTTATTTTCTTTTCACCCCAACCTAAAAATTAACGCGCTACGTTGCTTCGAGAGAGTTAGAAATATCTAAAAAATTTTTCAGACAATTTTTCAGATACGTTTATTGTAGAATAAGAGCTCCGAGTTCGTTAGAAAAACATTTAGTGCGAACCTGTTCGTTCCTGTTTTCCTATCGCATTCCGTTCTCGTCAGGTCAAGTATATTCCCTTCAGACTTCCCTCATCTTTCTTGTCGCAGATATCGCTTTATCGAATCCTGAGCGGTCTCGAAACAAATTTTTAAGTTTCACTAGCTATTAGGCGTCGAGAAAGGCCTTTTGTCTTAAGAAAAACTCGATTTACATCCCCATATATTCAAAGTAAATTCCTACGTTCTGCGTATCGTACCGCTAAAATCTTTTTCCATTAGCACCGGGATCGAACATATTCCCTTCGTCGTCCTTTTTATTGCTGATGCCGTTTTGTCGGACCCACGATCGGTCTCGGAATAAATTTTAATAGTTTTTCGTTAGTTATTAAAGTGTTTGGAAAAATCTTTCGTCTTAAGAAAAATGTGTGATTTGTATCTCATATATACAGAGAATCAATTTCCTTCGATCTAAGCTGTGTGTCATACCATAAATTCGCATTCCGTTCTCGTCAGGACAAGCATATTCTCTTCAGACGTTCCTCGTCCTTCTTATCGCTGGCATCATTTTGTCGGATCCCACGAGCGGGCCCGAAACAAATTTTAATAGTTTCGTTAGCTATTGGGTCTGGAAAAACCTTCCGGCTTGAGAAAAAACGTGATTTGTATCTCATATATACAGAAAATCAGTTTTCTTCGATCTAAGCTGTGTATCATACTATAAAAGTCGTATTTCGTTCTCGCCAGGACAAGCATATTCCCTTCAGACGTTCCTCGTCCTTCTTATCGCTGGCATCATTTTGTCGGAGCCCACGAACGACCTCGGAGCAATGCAATGCAAAGAATCAATTTCCTTCCTTCAATCCAAGTTATAAAAAGTCATTCATACCGTATCATACCATAAAGTTCACATTCCATTCTCGTCAGTATATTCCTTCAGACGACTATCATCTCCGTAGTCGCCATTTTATCAGACCCTAATCAGCCCGGAACAAATTTTTAATGGTTTCACTAGCTATTAGACCTCGAGAATCCTCTTAAGAAAAATTTGATTTATTCCCCTCATATACAAAGAATCAATTTTCTTTCTTCGACCTGTCTATCGTACCATAAAACCGCATTCCATTCTTCGCTAGTCAGGTATATCCTTCTTCAACACCCCGGCATCCTTCTAATCGCCATTTTGTCGCACCCCCGATCAGATCCCGGAACAAATTCTCCTCAGGTGTCCGCCATCTTTGCACACGCTATTTTGTCGGATCCAAACGGACCCAGACACTTTCATCCCCTCCCCTATCTTTTCGTCTAGCATTTCGACAACCAATCACACCCCGGGCAGCTTTGGGAGCATCCAATCACGTACGTGGGCAGCTATGGGAGCGTCCAATCACACGCCGGGCAACTATGGGAGAATCCAATCAGAACGCACCATTAATTACCTAATTACCTCCGGCCACGCCCCTCAGCCAATCAGAACGCTCCATTTCCACGTGGAGGCCCTATCTTGACAGCTGGAGGCCACGCCTCTGGCGTCAGTGGGAAAGTGGTGGGGGTTTGTTTTGACGCCCCATAACAGCCCACATACTACTGGAAGGAGTGAGAGAAAGAAAGAAAAAGATGGAAAAAATGTTACTATAATAATTATGTTTCAATTA